ATTAACAAAACAGCGTTATTCCCTTAATTGACCTATATGACTTATCTAATCTTAAGCTTTGTGACCCGTGACATTTTGGACATTTATTGGCTGTACCTCAAAATTATATTTAAAGTCCCACAAATCCATGGCATGTGTATGAGAATAGTGCATCTAGAGCTAAAACTTACTTTTTTAGTATTAGAGTAGGGAAGGCCTCACACCACCAACAGTGCGTTCCAGTCGGATTGGGTGGCGGGATGCACTGGATCGCATCCCGGCCAGCTCCCTGCGTTCAGGGGAGGGAGGGGGCGTGGTGGTGCATTAAAGTCAATGACACCGCAGCCATGTCCCCCGGCCACAGTGCGGTCGCCCGCACCCGAACGCGTGACACACCAATGCCTGCGTTCCGGTCAGAAAAAATTCTGCATGCACTATTTTTTTTGACCGCACCGGAACGCAGGCATTGATGTGCCACGCGGGTGGTCGCACTGTGGCCGGGGGGCATGGCTACGGTGTCATTGACTTCAATGCACCGTTATGCCACCTCCTGCCCCTGAATGCAGGGAGCCGGCCAGGATGTGATCTAGTGCGTTGCGGCACCAAATCGGGCTGGAACGCCCTGTTTGTGGTGTGAACTAGCCCTAAAACCCATCAGGTTTTTTTTTTTTTTGCATTGGAGATTTTCTCTTCACTTCCTGTGTCAGACACACAACAAGAAAGGAGTGAAAGGAGGCTGAGCTCTTTTGTTTTGACATAGCAAAAGCTTTTGATAGTTTAGAATGGAGTTTTTTGTGGGCAGTTCTTAAGTCTTTTGGTTTTGGTCCTAAATTTATGAGGACCATAAACACCAATAAAGTGTTATACACTAGACTGACAGCTAGGATTCGGGTAAATTCAATGATCTCAGAACCCTACTCATTGCAGAGCGTTACAAGACAAGATATAGACAAACGGTATCCTTATCTGCTTCTCACAAATTGATTCGATTGAATATTTTCCATCAAACTTATTGAACCCTAGAATTTCTTTTTAAAATTGATTCTTAGTAGATCTGACTCAAAATGCTCTAAATGTGGGGTAGAACCGTGCTCACTGATACATTTGCTCTGGCGCTGTCCGAAATTAGTAAGATACTGGGAATCTATATTAAGTTCTACAAATTGAATTCTGGAGGTCAATATACCTTTCACCCCCCGTTGTTTTTTTTCGGGGTCTTTTGCCACTCTGAATGGGAGGGCTATAGGGTGTTGGCTGTACAAAGAGCTCTATTGGTGGCACGTTGGGGGCTTATACTTAAGTGGATGGAAGCATCTCCTCCATCCATGGGGGAATGGGTGATAGAAATGAATCGTTTAATTAATTTAGAAAAACATATTTACCAACATCGGGTACGCCGGATAAATTTTTAAAAATTTGGGGAAAATGGTTATCTTCTCAGAAATATTCTTTATCTCTATAGATTCCTTTATCTACATGACTTTGATTTTTTTTGTTTTGTTTTCTCTTTTGCTACTTTGATAATATCATGTCTTATGTAAGAAGATAAATGCTGGAGTCTGGTCAACAAATCACCTGTGCTAATGTGTTATATTATGGTATATTCTGTATGGTAATCTGAATTGTCTGTGGTTTGTATATTTGTTTTATTATCACTGTATTTGGGTTTTTCTTTTTTTCTCTTTTTGATTTTTGTTATGTATAAAGCTCAATAAAAAGTAATTGATTTAAAAAAAAGAAAATCTCTCTAAAGTGAGGGGAAACCCCTTTTAAAAGAGCTTTTACTGGAACACATTAAAAGATGTACCCTCACCTCCTGTTGTGATGTATTTAAAACATTTTGTTATTCCCATTATTTTCTGGCCTTGTAACAATGGTCTCTAGGACAAACAGGGAGGGTGAATCTCCCCAGCTGGGACACATGCAGCAATAAAAAAGATTATAGGGGTTCTAACCTTTCCCTAAAAAGTTTGTCTAGAATTACACTTTAATGTCCATCCCTCTGGAAGGGCAGCCATGCATGTGAAAATCTCTCAAAGGTACACTGAACGTGGCCAATTGGACTTGCAGATGTAGTGAATTGCTTGCTAAATTTTTCCATGAAAAGAATGGAAAATATTTATTGTCAGTTAATTGTCACAGCTGCCTATGTATTGTCACAAATGTCCTATATGTGTCATATACTGTATATAAAGATCTATATATATAGATCTATATACATAGATCTATATATATATAGATCTATATATATATATATATATATAAATACACACACACACATACATACATACATGCATACATATATACATAGATACATACAGTATTCTATTCGTCTTTATCTTCTTGCACAGCAGTATGTATTTTAGATCTGTTAAGTGCCTTGTGAAATTTCTATCAGAGCAGTAAATTATATTTCCATTGATATTACATTTAATGAAGTTATAATTTACCTAGTTTAAACGCCAATAAATCATATCTATAACATATAAAATAATAACATCTACTTTTCACACAAGTAAAAGTGTAATTTTTTAATCCAAGTCAGGAATGGCAATAAAATGCAGTTAGTAGCTGATCCCTATCAGTGTCTGGACTGTCTGATTGACTAAGTGGTGATTTGGATTGCTAATATCCTTGTGAATTGGAACAAGTGTCTGAAGGAACTCATCACACCTGGGTGATTATCCCATCACTTTCAGGACAAAACAATGACCCAAACTGTGCACAACCGCTTAACATGTTTATTGCATACATTGACTGTGGTGGCTTACAGAGCAGTCTAACTTTTCTGCAATATAAATGGTATAAAAAAAAGTAAACAGGTGATGGATTCAGAAAAATTATCATGACATCATTACCACAAAGCCTTTATATTACACCTAAGTGGATTCTGGAATTCTTCAACTTATTGATAATTATCAGATCAATCACAATCTTAATGCCCTCTTTATATGCTAATAGTGACAGCTAGAGGCTATTAAAACACAGGGAAAGCAGTTGGTTATCTAAAGAGGCAAGTTAGGATTGCATCATCAAGAAGAGGGGACACTGATAATAAAGACTGCATAATATTTTAATTTAGAGGAACTTCAATCAATGACAGAAAGGTAAAACTGTCATTAAATCGTTTCTCTTTTCTACAGAAAATATATGATTCAATGCAGAGGTGTAATTGCTAAGAACTGGCAGAGAATTCAAAATAAAGCCACGTTTTCAAATTAGGGTAAAAATATCATAATGCACCCCATTTCTCTACTGCTCTCTCCTAAGGAAACGCTAATGCAAATGAGCAACTTACTAGGGGCAATCAACAGGCTTTTTTTTTAAAAGCAGGTCAAACGCACCTGCAATTCTGAACGATCTTAGAACTGCCTTAAGGTGCCCACACACCTTGCGATAATCGTACAATAATCGTGGGAAATCCCGCAATCGTACGATTATCGCAAGGTGTGTGGAAGGCGTGCGACCTCTGCTACTGTAAGGTCGCACGACTTTTATCTTAGGAACATGTTCAAAAACCAGCCGAACATTGTACGATTTTCGGCTGGTTTGTGGCATGTTCGCAAAATAAAAGCCCATAGGAAAGCCTTGTGATGTATTTTGGCTGCAGCAGCCAAACTGAACGGACTGCATCACAACTGCATATGGTATGAACTAGCCCTTAAGCTCATGTCAAAAGCATGCTGCACTGGTGAATTGAAGCCTGTTGACACAGGCCCTTATGCTGGGTACACAGGGATCAAATTTATGCTGAATTGGCTGAAAATTTGATGTGTGGGTAGCCCTATCTCCTAAAACAAAAGCCAAGAGTTAGATTGACTCTGTCCACGAGATATGGTGGAAAATTGTCGGGCAGACATTACTTGCGGCCGCTGTCAGAATACAAAGGGCACAGCAGGAGATTTGTCAATACAGACTGTTATCGTGGATAGAGGAATCTATCATATTTCATGTAAATGTACACTGAGGGTCTATTCATACTATTGCTTTGGTAAAATGCATATTAATGCAATGAATAATGTGAATGAGGCCTGAAGCTGGCCATACACTGTATGATATTTCTCGTTCGGTTGACAATTTTCAACTGGTGACCACGGAGTGGTGCCTCTGATCTCAAACTATTATGCAGATAAGGACTACTGATTCCTGTGACTATTCTTACTTGAATACTGGTCCTTGGTCAGTGACTCAAAGTATTGAAGCTGGAGGGTCAACATAACAGCTAGGCAACTAGCACTTTTAGAAGAGGCAGCCACCATATTTCTCTCATGACAGTCCATAGATAAGTGATGAAAGGATGTGTCACTTGCTCTTTATATCACTTGGGAATCCAGCAACAAGATATATGCATCCTATACCTGTTACCCAATGTTTAGTGGTATATGGGAACTCACCGTTAACTTTTTGTTTTGATTTTGATTTGGATAGAGTAGGAGAGTGGGGGAACCACTGTCACCTTTTTATGATCTGTGTTATATTTGGGAGAAATCCCCTCCTGACAGGTGTCAGAGAGAACAGGACAATCTCCTCAAGTGGGACAGAGACACCTTTCAAACATTTTTGGCAGATTATGATGATAATTCAACCACTGTAAAAAAAATCCAACTGGTGAGATGCAATATAAATGTTTATTTTCGTCATTGGTCATTTAAAGAGTTTACAATTTAGCCACCTGGGATTTGTGTAAAATGTCATTGTGTAAAAAAAAGTTTTACCTGCAGACATATTAGGAGATTTAGGAAATGTGTCAACGTAATTAGTAAATTACTTTTACTGTGCAATGAAAACACACAATGTAACACGTAGCTAATGTACCTGTAATGCTGTGCTCTTTATATTTTCACCGTAGGGGGCTACCACCAGCAGCTTAAATGTGGTCAGTGAAATATTTCTATACCTCAAGGTCTTTCTAGTGCTACACACCATTATTACCTTTTGTATGATTATTTCTCTGTAAATCATAGTGTTATATAAGCAGCTCGTTAAAAAAACAAACAAACAAACATTAATATCCAAATTACCTGCAAAGTGGTTCTACATGGTCTCTATCAAGAAAATCATGGTCCCGTTTCACAGATGTGATGTCAATTGGAAACTGAGAATCTGGAAATAAAATGGAGTGGATGAAAACATTTCAGCCTTTCAAATCAATGTATAACTAGCAGAAGAACATAGGTAGGAAAAACCACACAGAATTACAAAAATGTTCCAGCACTCTATTCATCTAGTCTGTTAAGGTTCTCATTTATCCAGGTCATGGTATATCTGTAAAAAATAAGTCAAGGCAACTGGACTTGCTGTATTTTTCTTGAAGACCTTTCACTGGTCATCTGACCGGCTTTCTCAATTCATAATGACTTGTACATTCCCAGAGAATTTTTGTACAATCATTCTGAATTGAAAAAGACGGATGACCAGTGAAACGTCTTCAAGAAAAATACAGCAAGTCCAGTAGCCTTGACTTATTTTTTACAGATATCTATTCATCTAGCCAACACAGAAAACGTAACCATAAACGTTTCTAACATTCAGGTCCCTTCACACCAATCAGGTCAAATGCGGCACATTAGGTATGGTACCTTATGTAGTTTATTCATTTGAATGGACTGCCGATGCACAACATTGGACCTAAAATCAGACCTGCACTGTTTTTTTAATGCAGCATAGCACTTTACAAGGTAGTAGTGCACTGCTATGCAGGTGCGTTGGTTTACTGTATTAGGAAGCCATTCAAAAAGAATGACAATGCAAAACACACCGCAGTGATTTCATTTTGGTAACATGCATTATCACAATGCATAGAAAGTGAGAGCGGACAAAGGCTGAAAACATGTTTTTTTGCTTCATTAACAAATACATGTGAGGCCTCAAGCACACGAAATGTGATGGCTAGCTGTACGCTGTGCTGAGGAGTTTATGTACTGGCCAAGGAAATAAAGGCAAAGTTTAATACAGAGGAACAATGTGGAAATGTCACAAAAAGTCATGCAGATTAATGTTTTCACCTATGAAGGACATTTAATCATATAAAAGACCAGTAAGCCATAAAATGAATTACATGGATAAATGGCACTAGCAGCTCTCCTCCTCTTCATTGACATAAATGTGTAGGCTCAGAGGAACCCTTTGAACAAGGTAATATTCTACAGCATTATGAAGATTTTCTATCCTTAGAGCAGTCAGATCATCATTCAAACCATCCTCTAAAACAGGGGTAGGCAAACTCTGACCCTCCTGCTTCTGTGAAACTACAAATCCCATTAGGCATTGCAAGTCTCTGACAGCCTAGCCATGACTCCCAGAGGCAGATGCATTATGGGGTTTGTAGTTTTACCACAGTTGGATGGCCAGAATTTGCCTACCCCTGATCTATAATGTAAGTCTATACTCATACAGCTAACTTCCTGTCCAATAAAAGTCAAGGTGCCAAATGGCAATGATAAGCCGTACTTAGTCTAACAAGTTCACTCACAGAACAAAAGACTGCATGGCAGAGATAATTACTATGTCCAATATCTCAAATTCTTTTACAGTTATGGGTACCATGGCTTGGTAATGCAAAATAACTAACGATTCCGTTTTACTAGTCCTTTATTGTGAAGCTCTATTCAAATCCTTTTCTAATGTTTTGGATAGAGTGGGGAAAATTATAACCTCTTCCCGGTTTTTATTGCGGCATCCCATCTTGGCAAGATTTTGCTAAATTTTTTGTTGTGTCATTGGCACAGGAAGTGTCTCTCTAATGGAAACAATAACTGCAATAACAAGGGTGGAGAAACGTTAGAATCTTTTCTAAAGTTTTTGTTAATGTCTGGGTCCCCTATAAGATTTTATAATTGTGTCGCAAGGAAAGGAAATTAGGGGGAATTTCTCCAATGGGGACACAGATAGCTAATAAAGCTGGTGTTCTACCTTAAGATACTTACACATATTACATATATCCGGCCTATGGTGCTTATATGATTGAAACGTTTGTACAACAGTTAAGCTTCTATGGTTTACAAGTTGCCTTATCTAATCACTTTTGCTTAGTTATCTTAAAGGAACATTTCTTGGAAAAAATGGAAATGTTCCACCATCGGTAGTTTGTTCTAGTATCAGTGATAGTGGGAAAGTGGGAAGTGGCTCACATTCTATCTGAGCTGAAGAAAACTGAAGAGCCACAGCACATTACCAGATGCGGTGACCACATGGGCAAGAAGCACTGATTTGCAAAGTGGTAATAGAGATCACAGCTATATCTTGAGCCAGATACTTTGAGAATATTTTCTCCTACCTAGGCCTTAAAGGGAGGAACAGAAAGGCTTGTGGGGGCATAGGGGGAACATAAATACTGGATTGGTCTACAGACAAGCTAAATTTAACTTTATAGAACAGTTTTACTATTATGAATTATCACATTGTGTTCTAGACTTAATAAAAAATAGACCAGGCAACCTTTTATAGACTTTTAAATCTATAGCACTTCCCTGTGTAACGTGCTGTAACATTTCCAAGTTCTCTAACAGGTTTATAGAAGTAAATATATAGGTCTCACGGCTCATTTAGAAAAAGTCCAGGGAAGAAAAGTGTCATAGAAGTGTTAAACTAGAAATTGATCATTTATGACTTTTTGTATTATGTGCATTTTTTGCTACACTCACCATGCTGTAGTGTGAACTCCATTGCAAATAATCCATTAACCAGTTCTCTGCTGGGGTGGTCTGCCACTCACAAAAAGCCAGCTTTAACCAGCAGGCATAGTTTGGGGCACCTTTATTATTTTGGTTATTACATAAATATTATTACAGAGTACACACTGTTACTACTGTAAGAAGGGCTGGGTGGTCCAAATGAATAGGATATGCTGTTCACAGACTTCCTATGTTTTTAGTGGCTGGCATAATTATGGTTTTATGCTCATAAAATCAGTCTTCCCCAGGTGTAAAGTGGAATAAAACAGAATGATGTCATGGCTGAAATACATGGTACATTCCATCACAGGAGCTGTTACCTTCATAAAGCTGTGCGTACTGAGGAAATCCAGCAGCCCGCAACCACTCACATGCTTCCTTCGCCTCGAGCTCTGAAAATAAGAACATAAAATGAGTGTATTGCCCGGCCAATCATGCAAGAACACCATAAACATCATCTGAGATTATCCTGTGAAGTAATTACAACTAACAAGGAGAATGTACCTTGAGACTTGAAGAGGAAAAAGACCACAGAGCAGGAGGGTGCTGGTGGACAGACTGATAAGGGATCGGTTTATTTACACCACATATAGACCATACCTGTGCAAACTGCACGAAGAGAGTCAGCAAAAGATCTGAAAAGGACTTATCTTTTCAGAAATAATATCTTAATAGTCAGGTAACATTGGTTGGATCACCACTAACTTCATTTTTACTGGTATTTATATAGCACCATCAATTTACACAGTGCACATTCACATCAGTCCCTGCTCTCAAGGAGCTTACAATCTAAACCTATCTCACATGCATGCATACAGGGCTAATGTTAGACAAGAGCCAAATAACCTTTCAACATGTCTTTGGAGTGTGGGAGGATTTGAACCAGGGACCCCCAGTGCTGCAAGGCAGAAGTGCCAACCACTATGCCACTGTGCTCCCATCATAAATCATTCATGCGAGTTATACATGTGGCAATTTTGGAAAATGTCTAAGGCCCCATTCACACTGGATCCGTTGCGTTACCATCCATTTTTTTTAAGGATGGTAAGGCAAGGGCAACGAAAAATAAATGGGTGTCAATGGGACAGTTCTGCGCATTGCTGTATGTCACAGTGAAAACGAAAGTGGAGCATGCTCTACTTTTTTCTCAGCAAAATGCGCAAACGCATCAGAAGCTATTGTAGTGAAGTATGTCCACTCAGGACATGTTATTTCACATAAAGCTTGCAAAAAGAAAAATAACACAATGGAATGCGATGTATCGGAAGCAAATTGGAAGGTACAATCCCAAGTCAACGGACTCTGAGTTGAGCTTTCGGTACCTTCTTTTAAAAAAATGTTTTTTATTAATTCTTTATTGTCGCACAGATAGCATGTACATGTTACATACACATACAGATACAACTTGATCAATTCCAGTGAAAACATAAAAAACATCTGTGTAGGTATCTGAACACATCCATCTGGGTAACCATACTGTGTAGACATATAGATATAGGACAGGCGGAGTCAGGACCTCCCCGAGGAGTCCGCATGCTTCGCAGGACTTCCGACGGAGAGAACCGGTCTCCCCCCTCCCCCAACGAAGCACATGGTATTAGACAACTTTTCGCTACATGGTCTTGTGGTAGTATAGCTGCGCGTCCACCGGTGGTATAACAGTTGGATACCGTGGAGGCCTGGGAGGGAGGGGAACACACACAAACTAGGGTGGGGGAGGGGGTGAGACAAGACACGACACATAGAGAATGAGAAGAAGGGAGGGTGGGGGTCGGGTGAGCTTTGGGTACCTTCTGATTTTGGTGTAAATGCACCCTAAATGCTTTCAATTAAAAAAAAAAGATGGAAAAAGTATGGAATTTCAGGGTTCCAAGCAATACGCCATCCATTGTTTCAATTCTCTTCAAAGCCACTGCAGCTCTAGTTGAAAGCTATTTTTGATTGATTTCCACCCTAATTTTGATGACCATAAACAAAGGAAACTATGAGTGGTAGATTGCTGTGAACCATTTCAAGGGCTACTATCAAAACATATTGAGGAGCATTTATCAAAACTGGAGCAGTTGCCCATAGAAACCAATCAGTTTACAGCTTTCATTTTTTTAAAGCTTGATTGAACAAAGAAGCTATTCTTCCATTGCATCCTAAAACTGTATATGGTTAATACATATACTAACAACAAAACTATTTTCAAAAATATTAATTTGTATTACTGGAGAAAGCTGAGTGTTATTCATATTAGTTCAAAGAATTGACAGTGCAGCAAGTCTCAGTAGGCTTTTTACCATAGCCACACTAGAAGGTTAGACAGAGTATGACTAGTCTAGTTGAGATGTGTTGAAAAGCGGGTTAGAGGAGAAAGAGATCTACAGGTAAAATGGTTTGTAGCTTTCATTTTCATTTCTCCCTCTTCCTCCACACACTAAAAATGAATGGCCTTCACGATGATCCCAACAGGACCTATGCTCTTTATTGCTCCCTCTCTCATATCACAGCTCTGTAGCAATCAGTCAGAACTGCAAAGTCTGTCTAGAGGGATACAATAATATTAACCCTTCTTTGCCAGTTGGATTGAATTATTATTTTTTTATTGGCTGGGGTGGCCTGAAGGTGCTTGCATTTACTTGCAGCAGCCTGCCAAACCCTCCTGACATGGCTGAATGCTGGAGTATTCCAACAATCAAAGATTTGGCCCCTCTTAATAGTGCCCAGGTATGCCCACCTTTTCCTGTTGCACATTCCTATTGGCCAGTGAGACTGCCCATTATGGGCCACTAGGACCATGTGGGGTGGGGCGTACGGGCAATCTCCAACACTACCTTGTTAGTGCTTTGCCTGTTACAACAGCCAGGGTCTCTGTTTTAAATGAAGAGGTTTGGGAGGTTGATGCCACTGCAGTGTTTTTTTACCCCAAGACAGAGTCTCTTCAATGTAGCGTGCGTACAGAAAAACTCTTATTAAAGCTGTTTGAATCAAAAGTTCAGCTTATGACATTAGTAGAACTCTGCGTTTCATAAATTGAGACAAAATTGTTAAATGGTTATATTTAGAGGTATAAACCAATCTGCCTTTAGAAATGTTTTATTTACGTAGAGTTTTTTCTAATACTGATCCCGATGGGAGTAAGGGATGTTGGATTCTTGATTTCAAGAGGCCTAAACCTTAGGCCTGATGGGCTAAGCTTTTTATAGTTCTTAGTCTCAAATACCTCTTCCTCAGCATAATCAATGCAAAGTCAGGGGTGAGAACACACAATTTTACAAGACATATTTCTATCTGCAGGGATACATTTCAGCATACAGTAGGAGACATAAATGTAAGACTAAGCACTGGCTCTCCAGTATAAACACATGTTTAACACAGACCTTTGAGTTTTGACTAAACACATTAACAATAGTTAGCTGGGCCAATCCGAGCAATCCTTTTGTTGGCCCAGTGTGGTGTTTTTACTGGAAAGCCTCAGCGCCAGCTCATTAGTCATTATTTACATAGACGGCAGTTTAATGCCTTGGCCTCTGTAGCCTTTGTAACATTGAAGAGGACACACAGTTCTTATAGAAGGAGAAATACTCTGCAGATAGATGCAGAAAAACACATCTGCATCCCAAGGTAACATGAGTGCTGTAAGATGTCACAAAGGAAACCAATTCCCCAAGAAGATCTAAGGTCTAACTCCAGAAAAACGTATTTTTTACTTTTGGATGAACTGGGAAAGAGTAAAAAATTCTGCCAAATTTTTATTTCTGTCTATGCCTCTAGTGGGACGATTTTCCTTGTCCCCTTGACACCTGTACAAGAAAAGGAGGCTGCTGTTGTCTCCAGGTCAGAAGGTCACATAGGAAAGGCAGCATTGGACGTTCTAACCCTTCCCTAGTCTAAGTGTTTTTGGTTTTCTCATGTCCCTGTTGGAGAGATATCCCATCATTTCCAGCCATGACAGCAATGGGTTTCTTACAACATGTTAAATGGTAAATGAAATGTTATTCATCGTAGAAGAGACAGTCACCCGCACACCAAGGGTGCTGGAATGACGTGCGGTTGGCGCAGCAGAAATTCAAACGTAGAAGAGATAATCACCCACACACCAAGGTCCAATGCTTCAATTCGTCCTTTTATTGACGGCAGACACACATGGCATCACAAGTATGAGCAACGTTTCGGAAACCTACCGAGGTCCCTTTATGAGGCAAATAACATGTTGTCACTATGTTATTTTCCTGAAGAAGGGACCTCGGTAAGTTCCGAAACGTTGCTCATACTTGTGATGCTATGTGTGTCTGCCATCAATAAAAGGACATATTGATCCATTGGACCTTGGTGTGTTGGTGACTATCTCTTCTATGTTTGAATTTATGCCACGCCAACCTCACGTGATTCCAGCACCCTTCCACATACTACAATGGGATTCTGATCTGGTGTGCAATGGGATATATTTTTATTGTTCAATTTTATTAAAGGCACTTTATCATACCCAATAATTTTAGTAAGTGCTCCTTTTGAATTACTATTGTTAGTTATCCTAAATGTAATGGCTTTTTGTTTTATGAATTTCACCAGCTAATTGCATGAGAATATTTTATGCATGCTCTAGACTTGTGGTGAACAGATGATCTGTTGGCGAATAGGTGATGTCTAAAAGGTCCAATTGTTTGATAGAAACCCGTCAACTCCTCTATGTATGCCTACTATTACCCACTATACAAAGTTAAATTCAGATGGTTACACAAGCTACATTTAAAGATAAAGGTCTTTTTTTTGTGTGTAAATTTGAACATTTCAGTTTACAAAAACAGGTGGGCAGTTCAAAACGTTATAAGGAAAAAGGCCAAAGGGGTTTCTACACATCAAACCAGCATGGAGTTGACAATAAAGCACATCTGGTAGATACGGTCTTCTGAGCATGAAGTGACAAAGAAAAACATTAATTGGAATATAGTAGCATGGCGTACATACATATAATTTCTACTTTTGCCTGGGCCAAGAGTAAGATCTGGTAACACCGTGCCTGTTAAGGGGGGGTAGGGAGGTCAATAAGGTAGGTTTTGTGGAGGAGGGAGACATAGAAAAGCAGAGCAAGACAAGGTAAGGAGCTATAAGCGAAGAGTGGGAGAAGGGGGTGGCAAGGACTAGTATGGAGAAGAAAGAGCAGAGCATTGGGGAAGGGCATCACTGCACTGCCTTGATAGTGTCTCACTTAGCCTTAAGATAACTGGGCTTGAAGCTTTGAACCTAATGACAGAGTCTCTTTAACGTAGGCGGTGTGCAGAAAAACTGCAGTGTCTTCAAAGTACGGTAGTTCCAGCTTTGAGGCGCTTAATCAATGCTTTTGGTTGGAGTTGCAGAGGTAAACCTGGACAAATATTACATTCTATGTGCATGTTTACATGCATCA